ATTATGAACAATATAACTACAGAAATGAAGAGTGTCAGAGTTTTTTATATAAAAAGTCGAATTCTTTACAGTAAGTGTCTGTGACTTGTTGGCGATAAATTCGAACAATAAATGGATAGCACACAATCCACATATTTTAAAATAATATATTCAAAACAAGTCAAACGTATGTAAAAAAATTCTTTACACTATAGGATACCACAATTGTATCTAAAACTCCAAATAATTCTCTTTTCTTGTCAAAAGTCCACATAGGCTGATTAAATCTCCGATAGATTCACTTACATTACCCCGTAGGTTACACAGTTGTATCAAGAACTTCAAATAATTGTCTCCTTTTCGTCAAAGTCCACACAAGAGGGTTCAATTAGATTAGAACACCCTTTGACAACACAAATTATTCTCCTTATCTCTGTTAAACTGTGAAACTCACTTTAAAATATGGTCCATTACCGCTAAACTAACAATTACGCAGTCTAACTCCACTTTCACTGAACTTAACGTTTTCTGAATCAACTTGCACTCGCTTGGTCGTCTATATATATACATTGTCCAACTGAAGTTTAGAACTTTCTACAAACTACGAGACGCTGTGATGTAACAATATTCACTTAAAGCAACGAGAAAAATACAGAAGGTTCGAGTAATGTGACGTCAAATTACAACAGTTGAACTATACATACAACGTACGACTCTTACCGAGTTACATAACGACATTTGTCATAACTATCGCCTTTAATAATTACTTTTAACACTTGTTATGTTTTTTTTTAATTTTCCGCAAAGCTATATGAAGGTTATCTGCGCTAGCCGTCCCTAATTTAGCAGTGAAAAACTAGAGGGAAGGCAGCTAGTCATCACCACCCACCGCCAACTCCTGGGCTACTTTTTTACAAACGAATAGTAACATTATAACGCCCCCACGGCTGAAAGGGCGAGCGTGTTTGGTGGGACAGGGAGTCGAGCGCCCTAACCACATGGCCATGCCGGGCCCTCTTGTTATGAAAACTAAATAATCATTAAATATTGGATCACTAAATGAAATAACTGATAACTCTTATACTAAACAGTCTTGTATATCCAACAAAGATTAACAACATGTTTATTGAAAGTTTCAGAATATAGATATTCCATCTTCAGCAAATTCATATAATAAACACAAAAATACAGTTACTAATAATCACCTGAATGTTATATGAAAGCTTATGTACTACGATAAATATTTGTAAGGACAATGTTAAGACTCAAAGTGGAGAAGGATTGTATAACCAATGAGTGAACTTGTATATAATATAGACCCCACACTAAGTGAATTAGTAAAAATATTTATACAGCTAGTGAGAAATAACTACAACAAGCATAACTCAACGCATTTGAGTTATTATTTAAGCTAGGGGGATTTTGTTTGATAAGTAAACTCTTTTTAATGAGAGGTTCCAAGTTTGTAGGCCCGTAGCTAAAACGTTAAAGTCTGTGAGGAGATTTTGTTGTCCAGTAGTTTGACTGAAGAGACGTAGGTACATGATATAGGGTGGCCAGTTTTACTGGAAATCCCCATGTGTTCGTTGACGTTTACAATTAAATAACGTTTGGTTTTGCCAATACAATTAGCTTTGCAGCTAATGAGTGTATGATTATTGAACGAAATGGGGTCGGAGTGCAGCCTTTCACAAAGAAAAATGTTTTATTTGGTATGTCGATTTGAATACAATTCTCAGTTTGTATATAGTACTTATGTAACAGTTTGGTGAGTTGATTTTTAAGAATTAAGCTGTTTACCTAAGTAATGAAGGCATAAATATACGGGGTTTTTAGGCACAATCATTCACTTAGTGTTGTTATGGGGATTGAGTGTCCCATTCAACAAGTCACAAGTGACGATTTCAAGGAAAGGCCTAGGTTACCAATTTTTCTGAAGATCAGCATGTAGAAATTTTATTTCATTGTGTAGAGAGAAATAAAAAAAGAAACCCAAATGTTAAAGACTCTGGTAAGTAAACAAGTGATCAGGTTACTTTTGTAGTTAGAGGGAGAGAAGTGGGTGTAGAGGCCACTGAAGGTTTTCTTGTCCTGGAAAGGGCCGTCACTTGATATTAAAAGTTACCCACACACCCTGCGTCCATCTGCCAATCCAAATTAATTTATTCTTAAAGTTCAGATTCATCATTATATATGACAGGCTACAGATCCCCCCATCCCAATAAAAATAGTAAGTTAACAAAAATACCAACTTTGTTGTGATATTTATAAGGACTTCTTATGTCATGCTTTGAAAACGGTATTGATCAATTTGAACATTAGACTTATTAAGTGTTCATGAAAATATAACTTAAGCATGCAATAAAACTTATCTTGTTACTTATAGTTTCGTTTCCCTTTATCAAGGTGTTTGCTATGGCCTATTCTGTGTATTTTGTAGTTTTAATATAACGTGTAACTTGTGTTTTTATTTTTTCTTCTATGTTAATATATTAAACACACATAGTTAGGCTGTTGACATGTAACTACGTCTTTTGTTAGTGTGCGCACGTGTGTGTGTATAATGAATACCATGCTGTATCAGTCAGTACTTAACTGTTTGTTCTTCACTGTTTAATGTATCAAACACACGTAGTTAGCTGTTAACATATAACTACATACTTTTCAGTGCGAGCACGCGCGCGTGCGTGCATAATGTACAGCATGCTGTATTAGTAGTTAAATATTTGTTCTTCTAGGTTTAATATATCAAACACATATATTTAGGCTGTTAATACATAACTACACACATTTCAGTACGCGCACGTTTGTGTATGATGTAGAGCATGCTGTATTAATGCTAAAATTCAGGGCTCGATCCCCCGAAGTGGACACAGCAGATATCCAAATGTGACTTTGCTCTAAAACAAACCAGTAGTAGTCCCTCGAATTCATAATGCTAAAATCCAGGGCTCGATTCCTCTCGGTGGAATGGACAGACATATAACTACATATTTTTAATGCACGCTCGTGTGTGTATAATATATAGCATACTGTGTTAGTAGTTAAGTTTGCGCTAACAAAAGCAAACAATCGTCTCTGGTATTAGGATTTGGTGAACACGTTGGAATACTTGAGTTTTAACTTTATTGATTAATTTTCATCAGTATAGATAGTTGTTTGAAAACAAAACAAAAACAATATTATAGGCTTACCACATTAAAATAAATTAAACAAATCAATTCTATTCAGGAGAAATTTTACAAGTTAAAAAAAATCAATATTTCGCAAGCAATTTAAAACAGTGTCATTTAAGAGCATTCCAACAATGATACTCGGCTCTATATTGTCGATGTTACTGTGTCGTCGTCATCTGCAACACAAGCTTCTCTCAGATGAGAAAAACTTCTCACTGCTTGCTAGTATAACAGACGTTAAAGTCGTTCATATCGATCTCACTTCAAATATAGCACAGTCAGTGAGCTCGAGCCTATTCTACTACATCAGGGATTGTCCATACGGATGAAGAGGAGAAAATAAAAATAGGTTTGCTGTAGCACAAATTATTTATTTTGCTTTGGAACATCTGACTCCGCTTTTGGAATTCGGTTCAGAGTTTAAACAGAAGAAAATAATTTTTTTGAATTATGGGTGATTTCTAGAATTATGTTTAACTATAAGTCATTTGAAATGTGCGATAATACTAGCGGTAAAAACATGTTTATGTATATAAAAGAAGGTGTATAAAAGAAGACACTATTAATAGAACTTTACTTATTTTCTCGCTTCGTTAGTTGGTTCAGTAACTGAAATTTTGTCCAAGTGAAGTATGCTCTTAGTTAAACAAGAGGGAGTCCGCAATAGTCGCGGCTGTAATTAGATCTCAAATCGGTCAGAAGATGGAACTGTGAGCTAAAATTTTGTACTTGAAAAAAACAAAAACTCAGAGCCATTCTATGAGCCGCTTTGCCGCGGCTAAACACTCATCGTATTTTGTTTAAAGTCTTTCTGTGAATGTCACTTCTCTATACAATTGATCCTACTAATTCTTCTGCATTTAAAATATATTCAAAATCAGAAAAGCTAATATTTTAAATGTCTCAGTTTAAACCGCTGAACGAATATGATAAAGAGTGTTAATTTATTATTATAATCCATTATCATATAAATGGTACTAAAATACTTCTTTTGTACATAATGCTCCAATATATACCGTTACAATTTGATTAAATTGATACGTAAAAAAAATGTAGAGAATCCCCCAGTGGGTCAGCGGTAAGTTTACGGCCCAACAACGCAAAAATCCAGGGATCGATCCCCAGTGGTGGAGAGACCAGATGACTCTGCACTAAGAAAACCACCATCACAGCAACTAGAGCTGTAGAGGTGAAAATAACTATAGATGAACAAATAGATAACGAATTTTTACATTTTAATACGTTATATTTTTTATACGAAACTTGGGCCTCAGGATTTACTTGTAACAAACAATACAAATACTAGAATATATATAAATAAATCAACGACTCGATAATCCGAGGGCTTGCGGATGGTAACCTTTCACCTTCACGAGGTTCAACACGTAGGTTCAATAAATCGTGATACAAAATGATGACAACCCTATAAACCGAGCGCTTTCGAACTGGGAATGTTTGCCCCTGAAGAAGAAAGGTCCACCTTTCGAAAGCGCTCGGGTTATAGGGTGTTTTATCATTTTATACATATATATCTTTCAACAACAGGAAAATAATGTTTTACGTGTATATGTAGTTATTCACTTTATTCTAAAATAGAGCAACGAAACGAAAAGAAAAAGAGAGAGAGATGCTGCGAGATGAAAAAATAAAAAAATAGAGTTAAACTAAACCTTGAACAAAACTCACGAACTGGTAACCTGACTCATCTTAATATCAGTGTGATTTAATAAATTTACGAATAACATAACTATTATTAAACACTGCCTTCTATAACGACAATGTGTTGATATCAACATAGATGATAATGTATTTTTAACGAATCCGAAGTTTTCTTTTTTCTTGCAGAACGTTTATCGACAGTGGGTGTGTGCCATGATACTTCCATTTTTCATTCACGACCGTCACGTGAAGCCTTGTCAAACGGTTTGTCACAAAGTAGAGCAGCAGTGTCCCTACTTCCATCCCCGAATTAAAGAACAGTACGCAGGGGAACCAGTTTTTAAATGTATAGGTAAGGTTATTTTGTTGTTGTTTCTTACAGTCAGTATATTCAGTATCTGTACTTATAATATTCAGACATTTTTTTACAGTCCACTTCTATAATTGTTGGTGTTTTTTTAATAGGTTATCTTTTGCATAGGCGGCAAAACACAAGGGGGGCACCTTATCCATCTTAACCGTGATCATTAAATTCTAAACTCAAACAGTGACTTTCAGTGACAATTATACACTAGTCTCCATTCCCCCTTTCATAGGGGGTACTTCGCTACCGGATCAAAATTGGAAGGGGGCACTCTGCTCCACCCCCACCCCCCCGGTTCCGCCGTCTATGATCTTTTGCTAAAACCATCGACTTTATAACTTAAGTAACATGTTAACTGCTGAATCTCTCAACTGAGTGTGTGGCCCCAGTCTGTTTATAAACAGAATCTCTTTCAGAAAAAGATTGAATGAATTTAATTAGGGCGCTCGACTCGCAACCTGCAATTCGCGAGATCGAAACCCGTCTCCGAACAGCTCGCTATTTCAGCCGTGGGGAGCGTTATAATGTGACGGTTAAACCTACTATTCTTTGGTAAAGATAGCCCTCGAATACTTTTGTGTACAAATTCAATAAAACTAAACAAACATGACTTTAGTTACGATTTTAAAATAATTTAAATGAACAAGTGCGTCACACTCTTTGTTTCGGATATTTGGGCACAACTACATAAAGACTATTTATTTATAATAATCGTCCCTAATTTTGAACTGATGAACTAGAGTGAAGGCAGAAAGTCAACAGCACACAACACCAAATCTCTAGCTATTATAATGGATTTGACAACGATTTTTGTTTTATTTTTACGGTAATGAGGTTTGAACCGTAGTCCATCGAAACTAAAGCTTGGCTACTTCCGGTTGTTATAGTTAAGGACTGTTCCAGTACACATTATCTCACAGTCACTTTTATTTGCATTTTCGTTTACACGGGCTTGTAAACGTCTTGTTGTGTAACCGATACGCATGTAAGTTGTTGTTGAACGCTTATTGTTTTTAATGGTGAAATTCTGTTTTCATACCTGAAAAATACTATAAACAACATCCTGGTTTAAAATTATCTCATCTTTGTGTGTTGCTAAGCTCTATGGGTAAGATGAAACAGCTGTTTACGTAAAGTGCATATTTACTAATATGAAGCACGACTGCTCCAACAAATAACTGAACCACTTCACCTTTAGCTTGTATAACTGAGTTCTGTTTGTTTAAATAGTCATTTGTAATATATATATTTATCAGGACTTTAATTTGATTTTTTTTAATAGTATTGGCACAAAACTTGCAAATTGCATGTAAAAACCTTTAAGGGCTAGTGTTTATTTTTTGTAGTATATTTCACCTCAAACTTATAATTGTTGTTACGAACTAAGGTGTCAAAAAAATGCAAACAAGTGTTCTTGCTGATGTTCAACAGTACTCTTAATGCTGGTATGTTTATTGTTAAGAGATTAAAAACTGATAGATTTGCCCTATATTAAGAGTAAAAAACAAAGACGACGTTTTAAGTACAATGAAAAAATAAAATTTTTATTAGATAATTCAACTGATTAGTTTCGGTAGCACAGTTACCATCATCAGGGCTGATCTAATAAAGATTTCATCTTTCATTGTGCCACAAGATGTCGTTAGTACAATATGCCCGAAAACAAACTAACACTCACTCCAGGTCTTTAAAGATGATGAAACTATCATATTTATACATACGTCTTAGGTATTATAAAAGTTTAAAAGCCACCAGATATTCTTCTAGACACTGTTTTTCACAAGTGGAGGCCCCACAGTGGCTCAGTGGTATGTCTGCGGACTTACAACACTAGAAACCGGGTTTCGATACCCGTGATGGGCAGAGCACAGATAGCCCATGGTGTAGCTTTGTGCTTAACTTCAAACAACCAAACAAACCACAAGAGCAAAGGAAAAGATTACATTATCTACAATCTTAGTAGCCCTGGTTTTGGCGAAAAGCCTTGTCGGCACTGGAAATAGCAGATAGATAGGTTTTGGAATAAAGAAAACTTCATATTTAAAATGACTGTACCTTAAAAACTACTTATCCTAGGAAAACAAGATTTCATCAGAGGCGCATTGAGAATCATACGTTTTATTTAGAAATATTTGGACATAATACAAGTGTTATATAGAACGGATGAGGCTTGCAATAAGTCCATTTAGAAATAGGTTTGACCCTGATTGAGAATGACAGTCGGAAAGTATGCCGAGTACTCTTTCTGACAGCTTATGAAACGCTCTTACAATGTTTAAATTTCCCTGAATAAAACTAATGGTTTTCAATGTGCTTCTTTTATTCCACTAGTCCAAATAGTTTATGAGATATAATCATTTTAAATATGAGGTTCTCTATATAATTGCTCTATGTATGATCACAAAGCGTGTTATTGAACACAAAAATTAGGTGCTTGGAAGTAAGATTCAGGATCTTCATAAACAAATGTTTGGGGAACAACTTATCATTTTCACTATCATTATAAACGTAATTGTTGCCACGTTGTATGATTTCTTCTGAACGGATCTTAATACGCAAAGATACCGCATCAAAACTAGCACAATAAACCTTCCTATCAAACTATTTACTATTTCGTTACAAAAGACCGATCTATCTTTCAAAGTATATTCTTCGCTAGTAAATTATAAAAAATAAAATAACAGAACAAGACTCACCTAGAAATTGATAATAGATGCCAGTTTTTGAAATTATAGACTTTATTAACTGAATATTCTTTCCTATGTATCTTAAGAAGGTCTAATATCTAAATATGCTGTTTGGTTTGAGTTGATAAATGATTATTATTTGCCCTCAAGTGGCACAGCAGTATGTCTGCGGATCTACAACACTAGAAACCGGGTTTCGATACACGTGGTGGGAAGAGACCAGATAACCCATTGTGTAGCTTTGCGCTTAACTTCAAACAAACAAACTTATCATTATTTATTTGAGCAATTATATATAATAAAAAAATCAAATGAAGATCATGATACTGCTTAAAAAATCATAAACATTTATGAATTTGTACCTAAAAAATTACATCAATGAGTTAGTATTATAGACAAAAATCATGAAAGACTATTGAACCAATCATAGCTCAAGTAAACAATTCATACACATAAGACTATATCGGTTTCACCACGAGAGAGTTACAGACCCGTATAAAGTAACAAGCAAATATTAAAGCACTCATCAGATCAAGTGCTCTGGTACAGGCCTTAGATGAGAGTGTCGTAGATGTTCACTCACATTACTTTCAGATCTGAACTAAGGCCACTG